GGGGCCTGAACTCTGGGCCTGGGCGCTGTCCCTCAGCTCTTCAGCTCAAGGCTAGCACTCTACCACTTGAGCCACAGCGCCACTTCCGGCTTTTTTCTTTTTGCTTATGTGGTGCTGAGGAATCGAACCCAGGGCCTCAGGCATGCAAGGCAAGCGCTCTACCACTGAGCCACCTTCCCAGCCCCTACACAGTTCATTTATAATGGAGGACATAAACAATATTTCTTGTTCATGGAGATCCAAGGCTCAATTCTCATATGATGTCAGTGGTACCTTCCTCCAACCCCAAATGGAACGTGATAAGACATATAAATTAGACTTACCCTATTTATTATATTGTTTGAGTGCTTTCTAAATCTTATATACTTATTTGCTATAAGATAATGGTTTACAGGGGATTGAAACATACTACTGATAGATGTGATTTTTCTCTTCATATAATCTTACTGCTGTATTGTTTGCAATATGGAGATTCAATATAGAGCTGGCTTTAATACCAACTGTAATTTTTTTTGGGGGGGTGGCATGTTGGTTGTGGGGCTTGAACTTTGGGCCTGGGCCCTGTCCCTCAGCTCTTCAGCTCAAGGCGAGTGTTCTACCACCTGAGTCACTGAGCAACTTTGGTTTTCTGAGTTGTTTTTTGGAGATAAGAGTTTCATAGCCATTCTTGCCTGGGTTGGCTTGGAACCACAATCCTCAGCTCTCAACCTCCTGAGTAGCCAGGATTACAGGCATGAGTCACCGGTGACCAGCCACCAATTATTATTATTATTTTTGGTCGGTCATGGGGTCTGAACTCTGGGCCTGGGCGCTGTCCCTTCAGCTAAAGGCTAGCGCTCTACCACTTGAGCCACAGTGCCACTTCCAAGTTTTTTTCTTTTTGCTTACGTGGTGCTGAGTAATTGAACCCAGGGCCTCATGCATGCAAGACAAGCGCTCTACCACTGAGCCACCTTCCCAGCCCACCAATTGTATTTTATACAGAAAACTTCATTTGGCCATCAAACCGAGATTTTTTTTTTGTTTTTGATCTTGCCAGGCAGAACAAGTTAGCCTTGAACTCATAATCCCTCACTTAGTCTAAGTGTTAATGATTACAGGCATGTGTCACCAAGCCCTGTTCTAAGCCTCTGTTTTATTGCTAAGATAACTACTAGAATAAAACACTACCAAACAAAACTTTTTTTTTTTGGGGGGGGGGCTCCAGTTGTGGGGCCTGAACTCTGGGCCTGGGTGCTATCCCTCAGCTCTTCAGCTCAAGGCTAGCACTCTACCACTTGAGCCACAGCGCCACTTCTGGCTTTTTTTCTTTTTGCTTATGTGGTGCTGGGGAATCGAACTCAGGGTCTCATGAATGCAAGGCAAGCGCTCTACCACTGAGCCACCTTCTCAGCCCCCCAAACAAAACTCTTTACATTCTTTCTTCTGCTATTATTCCTTCAGTATACTATTTTTCCTTCATACTATTTTTGCTCAACTTTCAGTGCTTATATATAGACTTTCAGTTTTTTAAAACTGAGACTTAAAGTCATATACCAAAAATGTAACTCATTCCCAAACACAGTGGGTTTTTTGTGGGGGGAGGGCCATATTCACAAAGTTGTGCAACAACATCTACATTTTTTTTTTCTTGGCCATAGGACTTGAACTCAGGGCCTGGGTGCTGTCTTTAAGCTTTTCACTTAAGGCTAGCACTCTACAACTTTGAGCCATAGCTTCACTTTCAGTTCTAGTGGTTAATTGTAGATAAGAGTCTCACAGCCTTCCCTGCCTGGGCTGACTTTGAATAGCAATCCTCAGATCTCAGCCTCCTGAGTAGCTGGATTACAGGTGTGAGCAATAGGCGCCTGGCTCAATACTTTAGCTCAAGGCTAGTGCTCTACCACAGCACCACTTCCAGCTTTTTCTGCTTATGTGGTGCTGAGGAATCGAACCCAGGGCCTCATGCATGCAAGGCAAGC